CTTTCTGGTGAATACTGTTGTTGTGTCCTTGGGCACTTAACTCATCTTGCCCCCAACTGTGTGTGTGAATGGGTGAATTCCTTGATAAAGTGCTTTAAGGTGGAAAAGCGCTGTATAAAAATTTGACCATTTACTGTTTATCCCCCATCTCTGCCTACTTTTCTGTATACTGGTGATTATTCAAAACATTTATGCTTCAAAAACTGTTTTCCACAATAAATACAATTAAAATCTGCTGCTTGCCACAATAAATTCCACTATTTCTGCATTTTGAATAGGAAATTAATGGTCCAGTTTCTGTTATGAAGCCATTTTAGATCATTATTACAATTTACAAGGAACAAAGATGTAAAATAAGGTCTACATAGGTTAGTGTTGTCACAATACTAAAATTTCAAACTCAATTTTGATACCAAAGAGTAGACTCGTACAAACTTGAAATAAAAACAAACCAATGGGCGTATACTAGTCTATGTGCTCTTATACTTGTTCTGATACAGCTCCAGATCATTCTAAAGACATTCAGGAAAGGCTCATGTGACTTTTTTAGTATATAATTTTCTATATTTTGCCAACCTTAATGTAGGTTATAATTTAAGGGTGCGCTACCTGCTTGTCTCCATGGAGATGTTATTGCTTTGCCTAGAATACTCCATTGTATAACATTAAACATTTCCATCTGGCATGTATTCATTACAGGTGTTTCTGTTGCTCAAAAATACAATCATTTCTTCTACAAATAGAAGCAACTCTCCACAGATCAGAATTGTAATGTAGCGTAGCGCTGTGACCTGCCTGTCTGCCTCGTGATAGATTAAGGCTATATTATAGGTATAGTCTATACTGTGGAACATTCTAGACAAAGCAGTGCAATTTCTACAGAGACAAAGGTGGCAGATCCTCCACTGGAAATATTACACAGAGCAGCTTTAACACAAAATGTCAAAAAAAGCACAACATGTCTTCTTCTTCTCCAATGTAACTGAAATGTAAAGAGAGAGACTTGACCCGAGCTGCTTGTCTGTAACATGTGTCGGACAGCAGCTCAGAGCGAGCATGTTGTTGTTGTGATGGCGTGTCTGTGCCAGGCTCGTTTAGCCACTCTGGATTAGAGAAGATTACACTCAATCCTGCCAGCGCTACCCGTGATCCCGCCTCGCGTCACACTGTATCCGGTTCTGGGATAATTTTAACTTTTGAGTCACTTATTTAAAGATGGAAAGAAAAAAACAAACAATTTCATCCAGAGGAGTTGACTAGAATTTAGAGTTTATCTTTTCACTGCAAAATCTGTACAGTACAAAACTAGCAGGCCTATCTTATTTTCTCAATAATTTATCTACTACACATAGTAGCCTATTGTAGCCTATAGGGATGTAACAATAACCAAAATATCATGATATCGTATCGTCGAAGTTCTCACAATAATATCGTGGACCATCACAATATATCGAATTACAAGTCTTTTTATTTAAATGAAGAGTTATGGTGCAGCAATAGCTAAAAAAAAAGACAGAGAACTACATAGACCATGATCCTTTGCTCCATTTCAGAGTAAACTACAAGAAGAAATAACAGTTCTGAACACTTTTAAGTCTTAGTTTTATGGATTAAGAAAAAGTAGTATATAACATTTTTTTAACCCTCACAAAATATTGCAATAAATATTGTACCGTTAGATGTATTTCATGAAAATATCATACTGAGAGATTTGGATATTGTTACATCCCTAACTGTGAGCCTCCCCTCCATATCGTGAGCTTTCCCACGATATCGCAATAAATATCATACCATGAGGTTCATACCATGATGATATCGATGATATGGAAACTTGGATATCGTTACACCTCTAATAGTCTATATATGTGACTAGTTTTATTAAAGGTCGTGTACTATAGAAAATTGACTCTTGTGAGCTTTAAGCCATGTTATAATGTTAATTTATTAAAGACAGACCTGGAGTTGTGTTTTGTTTCTTTCACTCATGTGAAAGAAAAGAAACAATCTTTTTATTATTAATCTGTCTACATCTCAAACTCTAAATGTATGACCTGAATGTTTTATTCAGTGCATGTTGTGGTAGTTTTCAATTTAACAGCTACATTTACCTGGTCAGTAGAGATTGGCAATGCCAGAGCTGAAATTATCCACTTTTGTTTTATCAAATTTGAAATTATTGAAACGTGTGGGGAGTTTAAAAACTAAGTGGAGCACTTCCTATATCACCACATGACATCACAAGATGGAACAGAGTGTTTTCAGTTTGAGAGAAGAACTCGCGCTAAACCTGGAGGGTTTGTGCGTTAAACATGTGAATGAAACAAAACACAGCTCCAGGTCTGTTTGTGATGAGGAAACATTAGAACATAGATCAGAAAATAGCGTAACATTGACCCTTTAAATCTAAACTTCATCATATAAAAGCTCAAAAGCAATAATGAAAGAATAACAACAGCTGTAACAGTAGAGAAATATTTGCTTGGCCAGCATTTTAATCTTTATCTGCGTTAGAATAGTTTGTTTGAGTCTGCTGTGATTAGATTAGGCCTTTGTAAAGTGACAGTTTGGTTTTCTTGATGCTAGCTGTGAATGCAGGCTATGCTGGCTTAAGGCGTGACTTGTTTTGGTGCATAGTTTAAACTTCATTTTGCAGAGCATCTGACGCTCGCTCCTGGGGATGAGTTTGTCTGTGCACGCACTTGTCTCGAGCAGATTGAGAGCTGCCCTTTCTGCTATCAATAACACGAGCCTGGCAGCGGCTGAATCAGATATGTTAGCTTCTTGGGAAACTCCGCTTTGGCACATGGCTTCAGTTAATATCACTTTTACCACTTGGGCTTAACTTGTGGTCTATGTGTGAAGATGCTTACAATTAAAGTGCTCATGACAGATTTGACAGATGTTTCTCGATTTTCTCTTAATTTGGTGGAATTAGAACTCTTGTAAATATAAATTACAGCAATCAAGAAGCAATTTGCAAAGAAAAGTTGCAAAATCTGTTGAAAATCAAAGCCTCTATCACATGTGGAGAATTCTGTTGTAGAGTTTATCAGGGACTTTTGTTTAATGTGTTATTGATATTTAATTGTTTATGGACATTTTTCACTACTGCCACAAATCCATGGGAACAGACTAGGGGTGTGAAAAACTATCGATGTATCGTATAGTTTAATGTGATGATACAGTATTGATATATTTATCAAGAGCATTTTTTGGTATATTTTACTAAAATGCGACAGTTCTGTTGCTTGTTTAGTGGAAGGAAACTCGTTTATGCGACGCATTGGACATTTTCTCTGTTTTGACAATTAAAATGTGTGTGTTTTTCATATGAACTTTGCACAAGAAGTGATTTAGCAAAGACTTTTAGTATCATTTAGCTTTAGCGTTTTTTTTTTATTGAACCACATCAAATTGATTTGAAATGTATCATATTGAATCAAAAGTGCACTATATCAATATTTATATAGTATTGTGGCATATATATTGAGATTTGTATAGTATCGTGGCATAAGTATTGATATGCATAGCATCGTGGCATATGTATCGAGATATGTATCGTATCGTGGCATATGTATCGAGATATGTATCGTATGGTGGCATATGTATCGAGATATGTATCGTATTGTGCCATGTGTATCGAGGTATGTATCGTATCGGCAACTTCTGAATGATACCTAAACCTATAACATTTATTTAACATTTCGTCCCTCTATATATAAAAAAAAGTATAACATTTATTCAGTGTTTCTCTTTAATTGAGGAGTCACATTTTACCATGCTCATACTATTGTCATAAATAAAGTACTTTAGTATAAGTATAAGTAAAGTAAACGGATTGTAGTCTGTCATCAGTGCTTTTATTTATTTTTTTATCAGTCGAAGCAATAAACATTTCTAGTAAAATTCAGTATTAATCTTTGAGAAGCATTGTGGATTAAGTAATCTTTGGTGACAAGTTATTAATAGACAAATGAAACCTTATGGATAGCTCAAATAGTTTTGTTTTAGCATGTTTTTATTATTTAGTCTTGTTTTTACATTCTCATTTGATAATTGTAATACAGAAAGTGCTCCATGTCAAGGGCAGTTCCTGCTCACAGATATCACACACACACACTTCTTATTCAAAGTCACATGACCAATTACAAAAACACACAAAGTAATATTACTGCATATTATAGTGTTATTTAATTTTCGAGTGAAGCTATTAACATTGATTCATTTGAAATGTATTTGTTTGTTTGAATAGGGACTGACCGCAGTCAGATGTCTTCATTATACTTCTTTAGGCAGAGCTCATTAGCAGCACTTAATTGGCCATAAATTACTGGGCTGCAAAATTATTCCTGATGGAATTTTAATTGAAATGTTAATGACCGTATTTATATTTGTGTATAACAGCTGCTCATCCTATATTAGTTTATAGTTTTTGCACTTTTGTTCAGTTCATACTCTATATTATGTGTATTTCAAAGTAGATTTTACTTTTTCTTATTTTAATGAGTGCCCTTATCTTTAGTTTATCATACTATATATATACTATATATTTGTTATAATAATATATCATATGAAATGTTCACACATTAAACAGATTACAATTATATTATATAAATACTACTCTGACTGTGAGCATCTATCTGACCTATACATGTGAAGATAGAAATAATACCATACTGTGAAACATTAACATCAGCATTGGACAGACCCTCCACCAGAAAAGTTACGCAATGCACATTTAAGTATCGGAAAGTGTACGTAGGGGTTATTCAACTGTTATTTATCCTTCAAATCACTACTGAACAGCTTTGTATTAAATTATGAGACTTTACAGGTCAAAATCAGCCTGTAAATAATAAATAAATAAGTAAATAATGCATTTTTACTTGTCAAGAAAATTGGAATTCAGTATTAAAAATTGTTCCAGTTTATATCATTTTATTTGTTGGAGATCTTGTTGTAGACCTCTAGTTAACCCTGTCCTCTTTTCTTTCTTATAGGACGGCTTGGATGCTCTGGTGTATGACCTGGACTTCCCTGCCCTGAGGAAAAACAAGAGCATTGACAATTTCTTGAATAGATGTAAGTAGCGCCCGGTCGTCCGCCTTCCCCGTTTGTGCCAGCGCTCTGTGGGCTCTGTGAACCACGCGGGCACACAGGAGAGTAGAGGAGAGAGGGTTTTTGGGTCAGCGCTTCAGTGTGCGCTCGGACACAATGGCTGTCTGCCGCCCAGTGTCCCCAACAAAGAGTCTTTCACAGAGGCCTGGTGACCCATATGATGTCCATCGTGAGGCTTCCCTGTCGAGCTGCGCCCACAAACCTGCAGATGCAATTTTATTTATACTCCTATTATGACTAGGGCGACATGATATTGGACAGTTTTCTAATATGTGCCATTATTTTTGCAATATTTGAAATTACTTTTGGCTTACTCATTTCAGTTTTAACAAAATTCAGCTCATGTCAAAATTAAAAAGTAACAAAAATTGAGACAAAATCAGGACTAAACTGAGGGTAATTTTGGATTTATTAAGATTATATTACTGAGATGAAGCTGAAGAGTCTGGGGTCAGTCTGGTTTCAGGAAAATGTGGAACATCAACTGGAGAATAACAGGTTCAAATCATGCTTGTTTGTAGTTGGTTGAAAGTGACACAAAGGAACATTTGCTGTACAACCTGTCCAAAGAGAGTGCTACTGGCCCCTAAATAAAGACAAGATAAATCAATATAATTAAGTACCATATTTAATTGCAACTGACCTCTAAAAAAAACACCCGTGAATAGGAATGAGATGATTTTAAGATCTGTAGAATTGGTATTAAAATGCCACAGTATAAAACCTGAAGGATGAGCTCCCCTAGTGGCAGTACTTCTCACAGCCTTGAGTTTTTTAATTGATTATTTTTATTTCCCAAATATAGGTCTGTAATATCACTAAAAATATAAATAACCTGGAAGCAGGAATTTGAAGTCTGTTCTACGCCAGAACAAGCAAACTGCTTTTGTGATACGAAGAAGTCCCATAATATTTTGTTATTATAAAATGCTGCAGTGTCTGTAAATGAGAAGATGATAGTGTTGTTTATTAACTACACAACACTGTAAAAGTGAAGGAGTGGTAGCACTTGAAGTTTCTTGAATTTCCAAGTACTCCTTTTGAGTACCAATACACCAATGGATATTTCTTTTAAATATTATGTCTGATGATTAAACTAAACAAAAAACGATTATCAAACCTTGGAAATTTCATACCATCCTATCCCCACCTGTAAATAATAATATGAAAAAAATAAAAATAAACGTCAAACCAAAGCCACCTAACCCCTGTGGCTAAAACTGCCATTGCACATCTCCTCAATTACTTTTGCTACAGTTCTCTTGTGTGTCTCTTCCAGTTGACTGAAATGCACTGATGGATATGGACTAATGGATGGGTCTGTGAGTCCTCAATGGGCTGCACTGCCCCAAGGAAACTCCGCTGTCTCTACACTATTATCTTTACACCTGGATTAGGGCCATAAGAGGAATCAAATTGAAATTACAATTTAAATAGATGCAATTAGCCAATCACAATTTTTAGTTATACCATGTACCAAAATTTCCTCCACAAACAAAATATCCAGTCTTATTCTGCATTAAAAAGCTAATTAGATCTGTGCCAACATGTTCTGAAAGGCTAAATCATCCCTGTGATCCTAAGTCTTATTAAACCACTAAGTCTGTATAAAGTTAATATGTAATACACTCATTTTAAACAATCAAAACAGTAAATATTTCAAATGTATTGTATAAACAAGTTTCTTTTCTCCAAACAAGCAACACAATTATAGCTCTTTCACAAAATAATTTCATAACTAGGAGTGTTTTTGCACACCCCTAATGACAGGCCTTTTAAAATAGTCGCTCACAAAATTCTCCGTGTTCAAATCTGTGCCTATTTTTGAACGTTTTATGTCATTTGGGACTGGTTTGATTTGAAAAGGATCCCCGGAGTGGGTAAATTTGCTGAACAGAGACTGAACTGTCCCCTGAGGGAGGCCGAGTCAGGAGGGAGGAGGTTCTCAGAGTTTAAAGTGATAGCTCAGGTTTCATGGTCTATTGCACATTTGCACTGCAGCATTACATCACTGCATTATCGCTGTGTCGGCTTTCAGAAACGACAGCGTCAAACATACACGGGCCTATATATGTATGTGTTTCATTCATAGGCTTAGATTTGTTCAGGCAAATATATTAAAATACTTAAAATTCAAAGCATTATTGTCATATCATGGTCTACAATATTAAAAATTAAATGTGGATTATGCAACTTTTCTGTCACCATGGAGATATTATTGCTTTACCTGGTGTGTTCAACAGTAAGGCAGTGATCTTTTTACAGTTTTTATTTACAAAAAAATCCTGCAAACATGTATTCTTGTTGTGAATAGACTTGCCTTTCCATAGATCTGACTTATAACTTGGCCTAGTGGAGCCACCTGCTTGTCTTTATGGAGTTTAATGCCATACTGTGGAGCATTCCAGTAAAAGGGATAGCATCTCCACAGAGACAAGAAGGTGGCAGTCGCTCTATCAGAAAAGTTCCATATTGCCACTTTAATGGACATTTTGTTATTTTCAGGTATTATGCTGGCGTGCCTGTGTTCAGATCCTGTATAATGTATCTTTGGTCTGAACGTTTTTATTTTATCTTACTTTTTTTCCTGTTTTGCAACTCTTTTTTGCTTTTCAAGACGGCCGCTTTGATTTAAAATATAAAGTATAATTAGATGGGGTGGAAAAAACCAAATAATTACTACACAGCCATTCCCAGATCTTAAGCCAGATAAAGTTTTACTAATGCAAAATGTGTTTAAGTGTATAATTAAGTGTAATAATAAACTGTAAAATCAATTGTTTATTCACCGCATCTCTTTATTTTTTCAGATAAAGACACAATTAGTAAAATACGGGACCTGCGCATGAAAGCGGAGGACTATGAAGTTGTTAAAGTCATTGGAAGAGGAGCTTTCGGGGAGGTCCAGTTGGTAAGATCAAACCCCATACACTAAAAAAATACAGCAATATATTAAAGATATTTTAAAGATCTTATATTACGCTGTTTTCTATTCTATGTAATAATGTTTCCTCATCAGAAACATACATGGAGTTGTGCTTTGTTTGATTCACACAAGTTCAACACACAAACCCTGCAACTTAGGCTGAGTTTTTCTCAAACCATGTGATGTCATGTGGTAATACAGGAAGTACTTCATTGTGTTTTTAAACTCCATGCACCTTCTCTTGAATTATTTAGATAATTTCAGCCCTGTAATTTCCAATCTCTACTGAACTAAAGCTAAAAGGTTGCTTCAAAACTACAACTACATTGTGATGTCATGAAGAACAGAGCATTTTGAGCTTTGGAGATGCAGACAGACTAATAATAAAGAGTTACTCAAACGTGTGAATGAAACAAAACACAACGGCGGGTCTGTTTTTTAGGAGGTAACACCATTATAACATGGCTTAACGCACTGATGTAACTTTATTTTCTGTTGTTTTGCAGGTCAGACACAGGGCTACATGTAAAGTCTATGCCATGAAGCTCCTTAGTAAATTTGAGATGATCAAGAGGTCAGACTCAGCGTTCTTCTGGGAGGAGAGGGACATCATGGCGTTTGCTAATAGTTCCTGGGTAGTGCAGGTAATGTGGACTCACGTAGAAATGTTTTTTTTTAAACATACCTTCTTCTTAGGGCCTGTTTACACGAGAATGCTTGCAGGTAAAAATGACAAAATATTTTATTGGAAGTACCTTTCGTTTAGACTATGACAGCCTTTTTAGGGCTTAAAAACGCTCAAATCTGAAACTACCCTCCAGAGTGGAAAAGTTGAATATGCTCCACTGTAGCGTTTCCGTCTACGCTGCCCAAGACGCAAAAACTCTGGTCAGAATTGCTCATGTCGCGTATGCCTTTACTTAGTTTAGTTTATTAGTTTAGTTTATTTGTTTATTTGTGAGAGACAATGCGCATAAAAACATTGAGCTACACAAAGAGGTCATGTGCTTGTGCTAGACAAGCATATGACTACACTGTGCTACACTTCATATTGCTGCATTCGTACAGGACAGATTAACGTGTACAATGTGTTTGTTTGGTTAAAAGCCATTGTTTGGCCAGGCGTGCAAACATTTCATAATCAGTACACGATATAATTTCATGTGGGAGGCTGTTCCAGAGGTTTATGGCTCTGTATGAGAATGATGCTTGACCAAATGACTTCACATACATCACATACATGTAGTGTCACCGCCTGGCATGGATACCCAATCGAATTCCACACTTTGCGTCACCGTATGCACACAGATTTCCTCTTGACGCTCGTCTAAACTCGAAATAATAAGTGAAGACGCGACGCCACTTTTGCGTCTTCTGCTTATACCATCAGCATATAAACGTAGCCTCAGTGTGTTGTGTTAAAAATTACCCAGGACCAGAAAAAAACCCAACATAAGATTGTAAATTATTTCTATAAAAAAGTAAACTCAACATAGCAATAATTAACTGTCTACGTCTAGTAGCTGTCTGTAGGGCTGCTTTAAGAATCACCATACATTGATAAACATGTATTTAGTATCAATAATACCTTATTTTTATGATTTTTTTTTTTTGTCTTGATGTTTATATCTTCGTTATTGTTTTGACTTTTTTAATTTAAAGCGGTACTATGTAAATTTCATGGTCTGTCACCTAGTTGTCTCCAGAAAGATGCTAACTTTTCTGGTGGAGGATCTGTCAAATGCTTTTCTCTATGTAGATGTTATTGCTTTGTCTTGAATGTTTCACAGTATGGCATTAAACCTGACTAAAGACCAAAGTTACAGGTCACATCTATGGAGAGGCAACCCTCCTCAGAGTCAGAATGCCTTTTTCGGGGAGGCATTTGAGCTATAACGCCATTTGTAATTGAATAAATGTAAGGTAGAGCTGTGTAATGTCATACTGTGGAACATTTCAGGCAGAGCAATGACATATCAATAGACACAGTGTGACAGACCCCCTACCAAAAAGTTCCATAGTGCCCCTTTAATGGACATTTCATTATTTTCAGATATTATGCAGGCCTGCCTATGTTAAAATCCTATATATGTGTCTTTGGTCTGGACGTTTGCTTTATTTATTTATTTATTTTTTCCTATTTCGCAGCTCTTTTTTGCTTTCCAAGACGACCGCTACCTCTACATGGTGATGGAGTACATGCCCGGTGGAGATCTGGTGAATTTAATGAGCAACTACGACGTTCCTGAGAAGTGGGCGAGGTTTTACACGGCGGAGGTGGTGCTGGCCCTGGACGGGATTCACTCGATGGGGTTCATTCACAGGTAAAGGCTTCAAGTCGGTTTACCGCATAAGGTGGGCACAGGAAGGGCATCTGATGTAAACTAAAACCCATTAGAATGAATGTGTTTCACTGGCAAAGCACATTTTACTAGTGTAGCTCTTCATAAAATTTTACCTTATGTCCAGAAAAACAAAAGAATCCATAATAAAGAAGGAGGGTTGTAACGATATTCAAGTCTCATGATACGATATCGTCACGGTATCAACCTCATGGTACAATATGTATTGTGATATCGTGGGAAAGTTCACGATATGATGGTGAGGCTCACAATTAGGAATGTAACAATATCCAAATCTCTCAGTACGATATTTTCACAATATACATTTCACGGTACATTTACCGTATTTTGCGCACTATAGGGGCTCTGGATTGTCAGGTGCACTGTCATTGAATGGTCTATTTTCAAACTTTTTTCACATATAAACTGCACCGGACTATAAGGCGCATTAAACGAAACACAGCAGTTAGATAAGTCAGTCAAATTTTACTTAACGCGTTCACAATAACTCTCAACTTTGTTCAATTATAACTTATAAAAAAAATACTGTCTGAGATGCTAAATTGTTAGTGTATTCATAATAACTCAGAATTGTTCAAACAGTTGGGCGATTCCGGCGTCCAGCATGCCCACATCCCTCTCCTCATTATCCGAGTCAGTGTGGTTCCAGGCGTCCACGATCCGTTGGCAGATCGTGGCGTAAGTTGCTCGCCGCTGTCTCCCTGTCTTGGTGAATGTGTGTTCTCCTTCTCTCATCCACTGCTCCCACGCAGCTCGCACTTTCACTTTATAACAGCCTTGCGTTTAAAGTGGGCGTTGTGAGCGTGTCTCTTGACAGGTGCATTTTGATCTTAAAAGGAATCACAGTATGTATTACTCCGCGATGCTCCTGACTACGGGAGCTGTAATGCTGCAAGTGGTGCGGCTTTGTAGTTTACTAAGACACCTGAATAAATTTATATATAAGGTGCTCTGGATTATAAGGCGTGCAGTTGTTTTTTGATTAAATTAAAGGCTTTTAAGTGCGCCCTATAGTGCGGAAAATATGACAATTTAAGAAAAGAGACTTGTAATTGGATATATTGTGATGGTCCTCAATATTATTGTGAGAACTATGACGATACGATATTACAGGTTCAAGCTCGCTATTTATGGTTTTCAAATCTAACTTGTTTTAACTGTACTTTGTTAAGGGAAAAAAGTGATTTAAATGTCCTATATTACATAAAATTGACCCTTGTGAGCTTTAAATCATGTTATAATGTTGTGAGCTTCTCAAAAACAGACCCAGAGTTGTGTATCTAGTGGCAGTTTTCAACAAGTGTTAACAACTTCATTTTACGTGTAGTTTAGTAGAAATGGGCAATGCCAGGACTGAAGTCATCCATATGATCCTATCGAAGGTGTGTGGAGTTTACAAACTTCCTGTGTTACATCATAAGGTGGAACATAGTGTTTTCCATTTGAGAGAAGTTGTCTCTGGGTTTGTTTTTGATGAGGAAACATCTTTATGACATAGACCATAAAGTAGCATAATATGAGCCTCTTAAAACATAACAGCTCATCTCAAAACCTTGTAAATACAGTTGTAAGGCTTTTGAGGTTATTGACTATGCTATAAAAATATTGCAGTTGCATTTAAAGGAGAGAGTAGGTTTACAGCGATCATTTTGGAGCCGATATTTTTCCCGTTGACAATTAGCATAACCCTGTGACATCCTAGCATTGGTATTTTACAGTTTAACAGTGCTATTGTTCACTTGTTTTTTTCTTTTTCCTTTCCAGAGATGTCAAGCCAGATAATATGTTGCTAGACAAAACAGGCCATTTAAAACTCGCAGACTTCGGGACCTGTATGAAAATGAACAAGGTACTGTACCAAAACAGCAAAACAAACCCAATGAGAGCTATTATTAAAGGTGCACTGTGTAACTTTTGTGGTGGAGGGTCCGTCAAACACTTTTCCACATGGAGATGTTATTGTGTTGTCTGGAATGTTTCACAGTATGGTATTAAACATTTCTATCTTCATGGAGACCAAACCAGACCAAGTTACAGCAGGTTAGATCTATGGAGAAGCAAGAGGAAGAGTCAGAATGCCTGATTTTTAGGTATTTTTGAGCATTAAAACCACCAGTTATTGAATAAATGTAAGGTAAGGTCAAGGCAGTGCAATGACATCTCCATAGAAACAAGCAGGTGACAGACCCTTAATCAAAAAAAGTAACACAGTGCCCTTTTAAATGGCTAACTGAAATGCTTGCTCGTAGGATGGAATGGTACGATGTGACACGGCGGTGGGCACTCCAGATTACATTTCGCCTGAGGTACTGAAATCCCAGGGAGGAGACGGCTACTACGGCAGAGAGTGCGACTGGTGGTCCGTGGGAGTCTTCCTGTATGAAATGCTTGTTGGTAAGTTTTACAGTAAAGTTGTTTTTTTTTTTTTTTACATATTATTTATAAAGATTTTCATATTATACAAAAAGCTTCATGACAAGTTATTATTTTGACATAACATGGAACCTGACCCTCCCACACAGAAAAAAAAAGAATAATATAAAATAATAATGCATGTAGCGCAATAACTAATATATCTATAAAAAATAATAAAAATAAATAAAATAAAAAATAGGTTGCTAATAGTTATGCAGTTGCAGTCAGTATAGCCCCAGCTATTAAATAAGAGTTACTGTGTAGTCAGATAGTGATGATAGGGCTTAGGGCTGCACATAGGTCAGGGGAATGTGCAATCAAAACTGCACATAGATCAAGCAGGGCAGCCGCGGAGTCTGAAAAGTCTTAAAAAGTTCTTAAAATTTCATGTTCCTAAATTAAGGCCTTAAAAAGTCTTAAATTATGTTATCCAAGTCTTATTTTTTTCACAAAGGTCTTAAATTTCACTAACCTATTTTCTTTGTATACTTAACTGGGCTGCAGTGCAATGTTAAATGGAGGGAGGAAAACAAAAACAACATCATGACATTTTTTGGCCATTTTACAAGCAATGCATACTACTATAAATGAGTTCTGAATTAGATTTTATAATAAAAGAACTTTTTATTATTTAAAGCAGTGAGTAACGGTCATTATTAGAATTGGATCTGATGTTTTTCGCCTGCATAATGAGTGCGATGTTGGTCTTAATTTTCATTTAAGTGGTCTTAAAAAGGTCTTTAAAAAGTCTTAAATTTGGGGTAGTCAAACCTGGGGATACTCTGGTCAAGGAAATGTGTAATCAAAACTGCACATGGGCTTAGGGAGTGTGCAGTTATTGATAGAATATAAGATTGCAAAGGGCTTGCCTGTAAAGAGTGACTGAAAGGTCCTATTGGTGCATTACTCATGGTCATACTTGGTCTCTTATTTATGTTCTATGGTGAATGTTTGTATGGTGTTTGTATTGTTGTTTTGTCCTGTTTTGTGATAAAGCATGTGACCCCCTATCCAGACAAATTTCTCCCAGACAATAAAGGATTATCTTATTTTATCTTACATCAAATTATTATATCAAATTTTTCTTTTGTAGATTTAAGAAAATGTTAAGTGTTACAGTAGAATTAACCTGCACTATCAGCATCAGCCAGTCAGTGTATGCAGGGATGCAAATGTTTAGTTGACAATTTTGTGATTTTAGCGTATTGTTTCGTATGATTTTAAATTTGACTTTAGCTGGAGGGATAATACCTGTGATTATTATAAAAATATTTACTATTATTTACCACAAGGTAATTTCTGAGGAAAAGTTGAAAAATGTATTGTAAACACGGTAACATAAAACTGAGAGACTTTAAACATGATATCAACAAAATAAAAGTATTTTCTTATATGGTATTATATGTGACAGGTATTTATATGTGACAGATAATAATGTATGGGTACATTAGAGGAGTTTTGCAAGGGAACAGTTATGAGATTCCCTAGTGTGATGTCACAATTTCCAACCAAACCCAAAAAATGTCCAAATTAGGAAAACAAGTGTAAATGTTTTTGCAAAAATCTTAAATATAATGATTTTAATTGTTTTAGCAAAATGAGTAGTCCGTCCCGTCATAGGCTCTTTATTGCAACATTTTGAGGACTTTCTGCATTCAAAGGATACATTTTTTGTTAATCGCTTTGACAAATTTTTCATCATTGTACAAACCTAGAAACAGCAATGCAAGTAAATCAAGGAGGTAATGCAATTTTTTTAAGGTAAATAATGTCTATGAACATCTAATTGAACGTCTAACTGATGATGCTGCTAGTCTTTTTATCTTTTACAATTGTATGTATTGGCATGGAACATTTCTTATGTTTCTGAAAAGGACATTCTCCAAAGCCATGGGGTTGGATTAGAGCAGCCAAAATGCCATAGTGATGAATAAGAGTGTAATTTTATTGGACCCGGGAGTCGAGTTATGACATAATCCTTTTTATTTAGCTTGACCATTTACAACATGGTAAGATCCTGACCCTATTATGCATTGTTTGGTTGGAAATGAATGGTCTGAATAAGGAACCTTTATTTAGACCATGATTCTTTGCTTAGCTTTTTGAGCTATAAAACTACCAATTATTTAATAAATGTAAGGTAGAGCTGTTTAATACTTTGGAACATGCAATACAGAGCAATGCCGTATCTGTAGAAATAAGCTACAAGGTGATGGAACCCCGACCAAGAAGTTAGACAATCCACCTTTAAGTGGCACCTTTAAGGAACCTTTATTTAGACCATGATTCTTTAAATAAAATGAGATGAAACTGTATATCAATGAAGGAACTTAGGCTAAGTATAAGCAAGATTCAAAATAATATTGACATATCGGGAACACTTTATAATAACTACACCTTATTTAGCCTTAATAAAGCATGAACAAAGGCTTAATTAATAATGATTCATGCTTAGTTACTACTTAATTACTACCTTAATTAGCACTTGCACTTAATTCGCCTGTGCTGTAAATAATTACTCATAATTATTTCATACTTAATTACTCATGGACTAACCATTTGAGCATTTATTAATCATTAATAAGCTATGAGAGAATGATTTACTAATAATACAATGCAATGATAATTCAGGCAGCTGTTATCTGTTAAGTCTTTTTGAGAGCTTTTCTAAAGTGAAGACAAATTATGCTTTATTAAGCATTTACTAAGCGTGAGTCATTATTAATTAAGTCTTTGTTCATGCTTTATTAAGGCTAAATAATGTGTAGTTATTATAAAGTGTTACCGACATATCTACTGGTATATTGTGTAATCATGAATACATCCTTCTGTGTTTGTGAACAGAACGCCCGCAAGCCTGGTGTCATTGCCCGATTTGTAACCTAACCCAATTTGGCACAGGTTTTCCAGCTGCACATGCCCTGATACTTTGGGTTGCTACAGTAACCGTACTTTGTACAAATCAAATTTTCGAGATGAGTTTGATTAAAGTTACTCTTGCAATATAAACTATTTTCCTGAAAATGATGTATTTAAACTGCTGCTCAACGTTAGAAAGCAGAGCGGAGTAAAGTCTGACTTCAGGAGTAAAACACCTAACTTGATCATTATGATTAAGGTGTATTGAGCAACTTTTCTGGAGGAGGGTCCTAGGGCTGGGTATCAGTAAGAAGTTGCCATTACGATACATACCTCGATATACATGCCCCCATACATATCTCGATACATTGAATTTTAGATTTGATACGATATATTTCAAATCGATTCGAGGCAAAATCATGGCTGTGATACTAAAAGTCTTTGTTAAACCACTTCTTGTGCAAAGTGAATATAAAACACACAGATTTTAAACAGTGAAAATGTCAAATAAATGAGATTTCTTTCTGTAAACAAGCAACAAAACTGTAACGCTGCAACAAATTAATTTAGTAAAATATACCAAAAAAAATCAATACAGCAGCCCACGATACTGATACTGTATCATCATCACATTAAATGATTCGATATATCGATATTTCAATATTTTCGCACACCCCTAGAGGGTCTGTCACCTGCTTGTCTTTATGGAGATGTTTTTGCTTTGTTTAGAATGTTTCATGGTAGAGACTAAACCTTACATTACAGCTCAGATCTGTGGAGAGTCAACCTTATTCACAGAGAATTATTGTATTTTTGAGCAATAGAAACACCAGTACTGAATAAACGCTAGATAGATATGTTTAATAATGTCATACCATGGAGACAAGCAGGTGACCAACCCACCACCAGAAAAGTTACACAATGCACCTTTAAATACAATCATTTTTGTTTCTATTTCGAAGAATAAACTCTGCAAAACTGTCAGACTTTTATAATTATAAAAATCCCTGGTAATAACTGGTTTCTTCCATATGTTTTGGCTTTCATGCATTTTAAATTTTTTGTTTTGTTTTCATTTTCAAAAACTAATTAAAATATAGACCTTCTGTGTAATCTTTCACTCAGGGGTCCAACATGATTTTTCTGCTGTTTTATGGTTAAAACACAGTCCATTCATGTTTGTGTGATACTTGAACTAAGGCATTTATGTTTTGTTCTTCTCGTTGTGTGCAGGTGACACTCCGTTCTATGCAGACTCCCTGGTCGGCACCTACAGCAAAATCATGAACCACAAAAATGCCCTGACGTTTCCAGATGACAGCGACATCTCCAACGATGCCAAGAATCTGATCTGCGCTTTTCTGACTGACAGGTCTGATAATACCCCTGATAATAGCCCTGATAATAGTCCTGATAATAGCCCCTATGGCCTTATCTCGAGACCCTCTCTTAGTTTGAGTAGGGCTTGTTTCGTGGCACGGAAGGAATCTTAATAGAAACGCTCAGCTGTTTTTCTACACAGATAAAACTTGGACAAGGCCTGGTGTTCAAATGCATAGAAGCTGATTTGTTTTTCTGTACCTTTTATAGGGAGGTTCGGTTGGGGCGCAACGGAGTGGATGAAATCAAGAGACACCCATTCTTTAAGAATGACCAGTGGACATGGGAGAACATAAGGGAGAGTAAGTACATTTAGTGCTCAGTTAAAGGGCTCATGTCCTGCTATTTTCTGATCTGTGTTGTAATGTTGTTTCCTCATCAATAACATACCTAGTGTTTTATTTAATTCACACATGTTAAACACACAAATCCTGCATATTTTGTTCTTCTCTCAAATGGAAAGCACACTGTTCCATCTTGTGATGTCATGTAGTAATACAGGAAGTGCTCCACTGTGTTTTTAAACTCCATACATCTCCAGTAGAATTGTTTGGATAATTTCAGCCCAGGAATTGATCATGTGCACTACAAAAGATGAAAGGTAGCTATTGAAAACTACAGTTTCATGGCATCACACGTTGGAAGAAACCATTTTGAGCTTTGGAGATATACATAGACTAATAATAAAGTATTATTCTTATTATATAAACTAAAATGTAGATGTTAAAAATGGACAAACCCAAGATGTCAAACCCAAACATTTGTGACCTCTAAGGATGGTTACTTGTTAAACGTAGCTTTAAAGCTGCTATATTGCATTACCCTTCTCTGGTGAGACAAGCAGATGGCCAAGTTAAACAAAATTACAGGTTAGATCTGTGGAGAGGCTACCCTGCTCACTGTAATCATCTTGAGCGATAATTTTGAGAAATAAAGACATCTGTAATTTAATAAATGCAAGATAAATCTGTTTACTGATCTCAATGGAGTCCAGAAAAGTTGCATATTGTGGCTTAAATAAATATACAAATTTGATGTGAACAAACAGTAGGTCATATTTAGCACATCTGTCCTCATTTGACAGTGGACTCGTATTGTTTTGCCCCAAATCCTGTTTCCATTTGACCTACTGCAGACATTTGCAGGAAATGTGTGTTGATATACAGCTGGGTTTGGACCACTTGGGGTCATATTTGGTCTTTTTGTGAATGAAAAATCTTAAAAAGGTCAACTTATTGTTAATGAAGGAGAGTAGAGAGAACAGACTTGATACTTAATAAATCCTGTAGGTTCCATAGTGTTCCATGGACATATACTAGTCGATGTGCACTTACACTTGTTCTGATACAGCTCAAGATCATTCTAAAGACATTCTGTGTGGTGAATGTGACTTTTCTAGTATTGATACCTGCTCAAATGAGTATCTCATATCATTTCTAGCTTTCAGTATTGATTAGTATCTGATTTTCCATACTTTTGACAACCCTATAATGCAGAGAAATTGACTCAATGTGTGGTTTAAAATAAGGTCTAAACTCTGGTTCAATGTACAGAGGTCTTTGTTTGGTTTATATTTAACACAACAGTCTGCTAATATCAGCATTTCAATGTGTCACTGTTCAACACCCACTGTGCAAACAAACAGATCTTCTACCTTCATATGAGATCTTTTAAGTCTACTTATCATTTTTTGCATCTAGTTTAAACATGTTTGTGGTAGGGCTGTAACGACATCCAAGTCTCACAGTATGATATTTATTGCGATATCGTGGGAAAGTTCACGATATGGTGGGGAGGCTCACGATTACGGATGTAACAATATCCAATATGTCTGTATGATATTTACGCAATATTTTAACGATATACATCTCACTGTTAATTTGACTTTTTCCCCTTAAAATGCCTTGACAAGACTTAATCCAAAGAACTAAGACTTAAAAGTGTTAGAACTGTTATTTCTTCTTATAGTCTGCACTGAAATGGAGCAAAGGATCATGATCTATGTAGTTCCTTTTTGTATTTTTTTTTAGCTATTGCTGCACTATAACTCTTCATTTAAGCAAAGAGACTTGTAATTCGATATATTCTGATGGTCCATGATATTATTGTGAGAACTTTGACGAGATGATATCACGATATTTTGGTTATTGCTACACCCCTTGTTTGTGGCTATGACGAATGGTTTATTTCACTTTGCGTGATGCGTACACACTGATTTAATTAATTAAGTGTAAAGTTAAAACCAAAAGAACAAAAAACTCACTTTAACATTTGGAAAAATATATGTATTATCTTCTCTTGAAATGTGCAAGAAATTATTGTTATTTTTGATTGTACAAGCGTGACAAAAATATTAAGAACAAAATCTAATCAGGAATAAAATCTAAATACAAAATATACCTCATGAAGTGAGCAGTAGTTGAATTATGTGGTTCAATAAATCAGGTGTAATACTGTAAACTGCAAAACCCAGCAGTGCAAATAAATCAGTATTGTTAAAGGCACTGTTTTTTTTTTTTTTTTTTTTTTTCCCCCTGTATTTGAGCAGTTTTTTCTTTCCCCAGTACACATATTTATTACTTAATAGTCATTAAGGTAAGATAGCTGTGTATTGTCTGTGTCTAATTATAAAGCATTTAATTGTCTGAGAATCAGTGTGTGTTAGCATGCTAGTTGTTGCTAGTGACGGCAAAACTCTGATCTGGCCTCTTAAGATTTTTGAAAAGGGCTTTTGAACTCATAGCGGTGAAGAGTTAGGATGTTTGGAATGCATGGGGTAAGTGGGGTCACTGGAGGATAAAATGGAACCACAGCAAACCTTTTCAAATCAACTAGTTCTGTTTTCTGTGTTTTAAGACGTTTAAAAAATCAGCTACAGCACGTTTTTAACCTGAACTGGTCCAAGTGAGAGTCATGTGTCCTTAACCGTGTCTGTTGTCCTTCACAGCGGCTGCTCCGGTCGTACCAGAGCTGAGCAGTGACATCGACACCAGTAACTTTGACGACATCGAAGAGGATCGAGGGGAAGAGGAGACCTTCCCCATCCCCAAGGCCTTCGTGGGCAACCAGCTCCCATTCGTAGGCTTCACTTACTACAGCAGCCAGCAGTAAGGCTCCCGTCTATTCAGTTTGATACTTTTATGATTCTCTGTTTATAAATTAGCTGCATTAAGTATATTTTTGAGGGTCCTGGCATTAACATTTTGGAGGTGTATATGTTTACTCATCATAATCATCATGCAATAATCTTCATCAAACATTGGCTGAGTTCTTCTTCTCTGTTCCACCTTGTGATGTCTTGTGCTCCACTGTGTTTTTAAACTCCCTACACCTTCACTAGAATCATTTGGATAATTTAAGCTTCCAGTCTCTGCTTAACTAAAGTAAAAACGTAGCTGTTAACTAGAAAAGTACCGTTTCATGACATCACAAGGTGGAACAGAGCATTTTACGCTTCGGAGATGTAAACAGCTAGCCAGGCTGGCATCACCTAGTGCCTCTGCTCGATTTCATTTCTCTCCAACGACTAGGTCATAAATCAGAATACACTAGACAGTTTGCAAAAAACCCTGAAGTGTGAGTTTGGGCACCAGCCAATCAGCCAAGAGCCATACATTCTTTGTTGGCAACGATTCCCGACGTCGAGGATTTAAAGCCGAAACAAAAAGAATGTTTGGTGAATTTTATCAAGCTCAAAGACGTTATTGTCCTTCTTCCTACGGGATTTGGGAAAAGCTTAATATACCATTTAGCCCCGTTAGAGGTGCATTACAAACGTCACGACCAAATAGCAGCGATTGGTTAAATAAAAAAAAAGTACCCGCCTACTGTTGAGAGGACGAATTCTAATGCTACGAGGTCAGACGGTTTCTACGAAGTGAAACCGGCTGATGAATCAGACTAGTAAACAGCCTAATAATAAAGAATTTACATGTGCGAATGAAACAAAACAGAACTCCAGGTCTGTTTTTGAGGAGGTAACAACATTATAACATGACTTAAATGTTGGAAAGAGTCAATTTGTATAATATAGGGCCTTTAAAGTAAAATGTATATGTACTGTGCGGTAGTAAAGATGTACTTTTGTCCTTCTGCTTAATAGTTATTACATGAACGTCCTTAAAGTTGTGGTTCCAAACTTTATTCTTGTACCTGAGTGTATTCTAATGCTGCCCTTTGTGACTTTGTGGAGCACTGCTTGTCTTCTACATCTAATTATTTTGCCAATCGCACACACCCAAAAAATCAGGCTTGTGAATACTAGTAAAGTGTCAAAGGCTTTGTGAGAGCCAACAACCACTTACACAGACTTAATACCTGCTTTCCTCACTTCACTTTGAAAATGTGTCACGCCAGCTTCGAGTCAAAATAAAACTCTTGCAGAGAATTTGGATTTCACGTTATGCACTTTAACTTTAATCTCCAAAATGTCATCAAATAATACAACAATAAACTGTCTTTTCAGCCTATTACGCAGCTCCTCCAGCACTAAAACCACTGACAAACGCAGCAGCACCACGAAGGAAGACAAGAGCCAAGTGAGTCCCATTTCTGTCTCTCTCTCTCTCTCTTTCTGTCGCTCTCCCTTTCTCTCTGTCTCTGTCGCTCTGCCTTTCTCTCTCTCTTTCACTCTCCCTTTATCTCTGTCTCTCTCTCTCCCTCCCTGTCTGTCTCTTTTTCTCTCTTTCTCTGTCTCTCTGTGTGTCTCTCCCTTTCTCTCTGTTGCTCTCCCTTTCTTGGTCTCTATCTCTGTCTTTCTCTTTCTATCTCTGTCTCTCTCTCTGTCTTTCTCTCTCTCTCTTTGTCTGTCTCTTTCTTTCTCTTGTCTGTCTCTTTCTTTCTCTCTCTGTCTTTCTTTCTCTCTTTTCTCTCTTTCTTTCTCTCTCTCTGTCTCTTTCTTTCTCTCTCTCTCTCTTTCTTTCTCTCTTTCTCTTCTTTCTCTTCTCTGTCTTCTCTTCTCTCTTTGTCTCTTTCTTTCTCTCTCTGTCTCTTTCTCTTTCTCTTCTCTTGTCTCTTTCTCTCTCTCTGTCTTTCTTTCTCTGTCTCTCTGTATCTTTATCTCTTTCTCTTTGTCTTTCTTTCTTTCCTTCTCTCTCTCTCTCTGTCTCTTTATCTCTCTTTCTCTCTCTCTGTCTTTCTTTCTCTATGTCTCTGTCTCTTTATCTCTCTTTCTCTTTGTCTATCTGTCTGTCTCTCTCTCTTTCTCTCTCTCTCTATCTTTCGCTGTCTTTCTGTCTTCTCTCTCTATGTCCCTCTTTCTCTGTGTCTCCCTGTCTCTCTGCCTCTCTCTCTCTCTTTGTCTCTGTCTCTCTCTCTCTGTCTCTCACTTTCCCTTTCTATCTCTCGCTTTCCCTCTCTCTTTCTCTCTCCGACTCTCCTTTTACATAATGCAGTATTAATTCCCTCGTTCATGTTTCAGCTTGAAAACCTGCAGAAAAGGATCTTCCAGCTGGAGGAGCAGCTGCACAGTGAGATGCAGCTGAAGGATGAGCTGGAGCAGAACTGCAGGTAGGAGCCCAGGACACGGACATGATATTCAAACAACATGCAAACGGGCACGGTGGCATTAAAGCAGCTCACGAATTAAGTTATTTTATCTGCTTGGAAATGCCGATACTCATTAAAAAGTTGTGACGAATCCAGGATATATCTGTGCAAAAAAATATTAAAAGTGGTCGACTAAAGAAACTCTTGATCGACTAAAGACGTGTCCAGCAAATGGATTCGTTGATGAAAAAGATGCTGTAACAAAAGCTTTCATAACTGTTGCCTATTAATATGTAGCAATGTTCAATATTTCTACGTATTTAGACCCAGTTTGTGATGAAGGTGGTAATCCAACTTTAGTTTTTTTGCTTGCTTTACTCCTCAGTTCACCAGCAGAAGCCCTTACGCCCTCTGCTGGCAATCATAAAAAGCTCTCACCAAATGACTTATTGATAGATGAGCGAGGTTGTCAAAGTGTCTTGCCTAAGGGTGCGATAATTAGGAAGGATTAAGAAGATGAAAGTCGAACCGCTTCCCTTTCATTTTCAAAACAACTTCCCTACCATTTGGCTTGCCGTCTTCCAACACACAGAGAACTTGAATATATGATGTAAGTTTTAAGTATTTATTTATTTATTGTTCATGCTATTATTTTATTCTCATCAATTTAAAGAGAACAACAATAACAAAGCTGAAAATGAACATAAATACATATTTCTGTGATTATTTGCCTCGTCTTTGCTGCATGAACAAAAGGAACAGGAAGAGGACAAATCTTATAAACCCGGCTTCTTTCACAGATCAAAAAAATTAAACATTTCTTTAATAATCGTTCCCCACTCCAAAAACCGAACCAAATCACCAATCAATAAACCATATGCATGTTACAGTATCATCTTGTGCTTTTATTAACTTTAAACTTTTTCCTTAGTCACACCGTCCATCATTATTTTATCCTTGTACTTTTTCTTGAATTTAGAAACACTGGCGCAACTTTTAAAATCATGATTTTAACAAATTCCGTATCTTGATTCCGAACACAAACACGTTTCTGTTTTAATGTCGTCCTTGAGAATACAGTTCGGAAAAAATCTGGTCTTCTATGGTCACAGTTCTCCTAGACAAACGTAAAAAGATTTTGTAGAACTTCGAGTAAATGTCTTTGTCTTTCCACAGAACTAATAAAATCTTAATATCGACTTAAGTCTTTAAACTTAAGTTGATTAGACTTAACAAACAAATGAGTGGTGTGCTCTCTGAATCCCTTTTTATTGATTATTCGAATTGCTGAGTTCTAATGTAATATTCTTTTTGCCCTTTGCAGGACCTCAAATACCAAGATGGAGAAGATCTTGAGAGAACTGGACGAGGAGGTAACACAAATAATCGATTACATATTTGGTAACCTTGAACAACAGCCAAGTATTGATGATTTGGGGCGAAATATCTAAATGTAATTGTGTTTAGATTTATTTTAGTTTATAGGGAAAGCATTAAAATGGACTTGGTGTTTACTGAGAAAATTGTGTTGCTTATACTGTAATTTCCGGACTATAAGCCTCTACTTTTTTCTCACACTTTGAACCTTGTGGCTAATAAAACAATGCGGCTAATATATGATTTGGAGGGATTCTTTGTTTGGCACATTGTCCATTCATATGTACGGTCTATGATTTGGCAACACAGCGGATACACGCAGCCTGAGTGCAGAAAACGTCGCTGTCTGTGCGGTTACACGTGGATCTAGAGTTAACATGAAGTTGCTACACTAGTGATATTGTCAGTGCACTCAAATAGTTTATTGTCATGTGATAAAATAAGTTCTGATGTTAAATGAACATTAGTGAGGGTGATACGTGTTACCCGTGTGTGTAAATGACAAGAAGAAACATCTCAAACTTCAGTAGCCGGACATGCACTCATACCTGATTGACAGAACTAACCCCCAGAGACTCTTTCTGCAGGAGAAATGCACAGTAGAGCGCGGAGAGAGACGGGGTAATACACCGAGGAAGATGCTCGTTTGATTGTGTTTTTGAACAGTTATTTTGAACAGTTATTTTGCGCTTCATACACACACCCTCATTTAAAACACGAAGAAATGCAGATGATGCAGCTTTTGCGTTAAAGGCGATTGATGTGGTTATTGAGGAAGGAAACAGAACTGCTGCACGTGAACTCGACATCAATGAGTCGATGGTGAGACGTTGGCAATGGCAGCGTGATGAACTGACTCAATGCAAAAAGACAACAAAAGTTTTCAGACGACCTGAACTTGAAAATTTTCTTGAAAACGTGGACACCTGCGACTTATATTCAGGTGTGGCCGATATACAGTGTTGGGAAGGTTACTTTTAAAATGTATTCCCCTACAGATTACAGATTACATACCCCAAAATGTAGTCTGTAACAGAATCCATTAAATTACTTAAAGTGAGTAACGTAATCTGAATACTTTGGATTACTTGATTTGCTGTAGAGAAGCAAAGACGAGGAAATCGTAACATAAGATGTTTTGTCTGCTAAAAGAAAATAAAAAAGCCCAGACTTTACTGAACCACATTAAAAATATTATTGATAGAAGACGAAGAAACACGGTCCACGCAGCATGATTTAGTCCTGTTTTAGTCCTGTTTTAGTCCTGTTTTAGACCTGTTTTAGACCTGGTTTAGACCTGGTTTAGACCTGGTTTAGTCCTGGTTTAGTCCTGGTTTAGTCCTGGTTTAGTCCTGGTTTAGACCTGGTTTAGACCTGGTTTAGCCCAAAATGTGAAAACAGGAAAATACCACCGTGTAATGCATTTATTCCAACAAAGTAACTGTAATTCAATTACCACTCACTGAAACAGTAACTGTAACTGAATACAGTTACTTATAATTTGTACTCTGATTATGTAACTCCGGTACATGTAATCCGTTACTCCCCAACACTGCCTATATATGTACAATAAAAAAATAAAATAAAAAATTTAGTTGATGCGTCTTATATTCAGGTGAGGTCAATAGTCCGGAAAATAGGGATTATCTTTACAAGGAAAATGATCTGCTGAATTGAGTCAAAATGAGCAGTAAAATATCAAATAATGTGATTTAATATTTGAAAAAAAAAAAGCTGACACCCAAGATCGAGGCCCTGTTTCTCTGTACTAAAAAGCAACCTTTGTGATTTGCTAATTGTGACTATTCCTATTGCAGTTTTCACTTTATTGATCACTGTTGTGGCCCTAATTTCCACATTCCTGTTTCCTGGATTAGATGAACCTGAGGAAGAGTGCAGAGGGCAGCCTGTCGCTCCTGGAGAAAGAGAAGATGATGGCTCAGCACAGGCTCACCGAGGCTCAGAGGAAGGCCGACCAGGAGGCGGAGAAGAGACGTAACCTGGAGAATGAAGGTGCGGCTCTGAATTAGGGCTGTCGAAAATCAAGTACTAATCAATACTAAAACTAGTATCGACACTAGATACACTCAGTTGAGCAATTATCGATACTAAAAAAGAGATCAGGGAACATTCACAGGACAAAAATGAATCTTTCTTGAATACTTTTAGAATGATCTTGAGTTTTATCAGCCTCCCTAATGTAATTTTATCAATTTTTATCATCCTAACTTTGGTATAGAAGTATAAAAAGCTAAAGTTAACTCATTTTGTGCTTTGATTACTGTATTGATCCTTTCAGAGTTGCAAAATATTGACTTTTGTGTTCAAATCCGTGTTTTAGTTTCAACGTTAAAGGAGCAGCTTGAAGACATGAGGAAAATCAGTCAGAACTCCCAGGCATCAAATGACAAGATCGCTCAGCTACAAAACCAGGTATGGATTTTGACATTTTAAAGACGCATGGAGATGTTATTGCTTTGTCTGGAATGTTTCACAGTATGGCATTAAACATTTCTATCATCATGGAGACCAAACCAGACCAAGTTACAAGTCAGATCTGCCTCTCTTTCTAGGTATTTTTACCTTTAAAACCACCTGTAATTGAATAAATGTAAGGGAGAGCTGTTTAATGTCACACTGTGGAACATTCCAGACAGAGCAATGAAACAGAAGCAAGCAAGTGACGGATGCACTACCAAAAAGTAATAATGCACCTTTAAATACACCCACCCCTGTCTTTTCAATAATACCACTAGTGCGACTTTTGCTTATAATAATAAACCATTCTGAATCCAGTTTTATTGTGAGCAATGCCCCGTAATCCAGCGATTATGGGCAAGTCATCGGGGTGTGTTCATATGAAGTCTCTCTGTGTTACCATAAATAGTCCGAATCTTTAGAAAGAGGGCTGAGCTGTTTTACCAGAAGCTTAATCCAAATTTCCAAATATATATGTATAGAGACAATCCCCCTCTAGCGCTCCCACTTGTGATGCCATAAGGTGGTTATCCAAATTTTTGCTTGCTTTACTCCTCAGTTCACCAGCAGAAGTCCTTACGCCCTCTGCTGGCAGTCGTAAAAAGCTGCAAACAATAAAGACATTTTATAATTTCCATGAACAATTTCCGTAAACAACTGTTACGTTTCTTCCCCCAGACTTTTAGTAAGTGTGGTGGTTTGGGGCAGAGGTCAGAGGATTTGCTGTCGACCTTTTGTTTGTCAATGATCAGCTTAAGTGTTTTCAATTAGAAATCCAATCAGTCCAATCCACTTTGTTTCTATAGCACATTTTATAAACATGACCGTTTCCAAAGTGCTGCACAGACAAATTGAGGCACTAAAAGACAGTAAATAATACATAAAAACAATAAATAAAAAGAATTAGAATACATAGAGCTAAAAATTATTAAAACTATAAAATGAATAGAAATCAAATGAAAATAAAATCAAAATAAATAAAAGACACACAGGAACACGCAACTCACGTGCTGTTAAAAGCCAGAAAATTAAAGTAGGTCTTAAGATGAGACTTAAAACACTGTATGGATGTGGCAGGGTGTGAGGAGGCCAGGGTTGTATGGATGTGCGGGGGGGTCAGACAGTTCCAGAGCTTCGGCCCGGCCACAGAGAAGGTCCTGTCCCACCTGGTTTTCAGTCTTGGGCCCCACGAGTTAGAGCTGTGCCCTTGAGGTGTAAATTCTAAAACTTGTGCCATCCCACAGCTGGAGGAGGCCAACGACCTCCTTCGGGCGGAGTCGGACACGGCGGCGCGTCTGAGGAAGAATCAGTCCGAGATGGCGAAGTCCATGAGTCAGCTGGAGACCATGAACAGAGAGCTGCAGGAGCGCGTGCGGGCGGCCGACGGAGACAAGGCCCAGATGGAGAAGGAGGTCATGGTCCTTCAGAGCTCGCTGGAGTCAGAGAGGAGGAACTACAGCCAGGGCTCCGAGGAGATACACGAACTGCAAGGTGAGTGGCCAGCCCTCATAGACTGGATATATAAATGAACAGAGGAATAATTGAATATAGGAAGTGAGTGTGAGGGCACTTCTGGCTCCATTTACTTTGGCTCTAATTGACTTTATATTGAAAAATTGTCAGCCCTCTCTAACGGCTGCAGTGATCCTCGTCATTTTGGACTTAGAACGTTCGTATTAAGCCGCTCTACGTGATCCTGGGGTTTTCATTTCTCTATTTTGTCCGTAGATAAATTCCAATTTCTAATATGGAACTCTGCTCTGAAGGCTATGGGTGCAAAAATTATTTTAAACAATAAAATTCGCTATCTAATTTGTTAAGTTTACTTTTCTTATTGTAAATTAAATCTGTGGAATATTTTTTTGGCTCATTTCTTTCACCAGTACAAGTACAAAATGTGAAAAAGTCAAATTGTTTTTACCGTTTGGGTACAATATTGTATTTTGCAGCTGACTAACTGAAAGACAAACTCAGATAATAATAAACATATTATTAGGGATGTAACAATAACTGAAATATCATTATATCGTATCGTCAAAGTTCTCACAATAATATCGTGGACCATCACAATATATCGAATTACAAGTCTCTTTGCTTAAATGAAGAGTTATGGTGCAGCAATAGTTAAAAAAAGACAGAGGGAACTACATAGACCATGATCCTTTGCTCCATTCAGTTCTAAGCATTTTTAACTCTTAGTTCTTTGGATTAAGTCTTGTCAGGGCATTTTAAGAGGAAAAAGTAGCATATAAACAGTTTTCTTAACCTCCACAAAATATAAATATCGTACCGTGAGATGTATATCGTGAAAATATCGTACCGAGAGATTTGGATATTTTTACATTCCTAATCGTGAGCCTCCCCACTATATCGTAAACTTTCCCACGATATCGTAATAAATATCGTACAGTGAGGTTCATACTGTGATGATGTCGTATTGTGAGACTTGGATATCGTTACACCCCTACATATTATTTTTTTCTTGTGAAACGCTCAAGTATTAGGTTTTGTTTTCCATTAAGCACATTGCACAATAACATGACTGTAAAAGTTAGAGTTAAAATATATGCTGATTTTGTAATTATGTTTTTAGCGCGGATGGCCGGGCTTCTAGAGGACAACAAAAACTTGAAGCTCAGTTTGTCTAAAGTGGAATCTGAACGCAAACACGCACAGGACAGGAGCAACCATTTGGAAAAGGTAAGAAACCACCTCATTCAATCACCACTTCTGAAAAACGCTATCATTTATTCATGGTGGTCTTGTGATGTTTTGTGCAGGAGATAACCAACCTGGAGATCGACCTGAACTACAAACTGAAAACTTTGCAGCAGCGTTTGGAGCAGGAGCAGACGGAGCACAGGGTCACACGGGCCCAGCTCACAGACAAATACGAGTCCATCGAAGAGGCGAAGTCTGCAGCCATGAGCGGTATGCCAACCCAATCTCCACTATGTCATGTGATACGTGCTTTTACAGTACGGAGCACACGTGTTCCTGTCTGCTTTCACTTCAGGAAGACCATTTGCCCTTTATTTTTTGTCAGAAGTGATTTCTTTATGGTATATCTAATGACCTAAAACATAATATTAATTTGGCTACTGAATAGTCCCGCCCACTTCGAAGTCCACTCTGTTTCCTAAAGTAAATTTCCCATTCATTTTTCATTTACAGAAAACTGTCTATATTCAGAGTTCAGAGGCATTGCGGGGCAGATCAGCTAACTAATGCGAAAGATTAGAAAAAATCTTTTAATAACTTCACAGTTTATAAAGTATCAGAAACAGATTTTAAATAAAATGATCCGTCTTGTGGTCATAAGTTACCACAGAGCTGATTAGCCCTGAACAAGCTTTCAAACTTTTAATACGATTTTTTTGGGATAATGAATAAAAAACTAACTTCCCATTTTAGTTTTTGTTGAGCTGCATAGTGAAAAACCTCTATTGCAACGTCAACCTTTTTAATGTACACATTTTCCGATATTTCATGGGAAAAATGAATGAGGATGTGTAAATATTATGTAACAGTTTAGTCTCCCTGCATAATCTAGTTCTGCATTCATACATATTTTTAGATTCTTTATGCTTTAGTGGTGGGTTTCAGATTCTAGAAAGTCATCAGATCATGTTGCGAAGAGAATTGATTAAGAAATACTGTATATAAAATCGTAAACTCACACATGTTGAACCACTTTTATTTGTGACTTGATGCTAGAATTCACCATATTCCAACAAAAGTCTGCATTTTAAACACCACATATAAACTGCACTGGACTATAAGGCGCATTAAACGAAACACAACAGTTAGATAAGTCAGTCAAACTTTATTTAACGCGTTCACAATAACTCTCAACTTTGTTCAGTTGTAACACGTAAAAAAAATACTGTCTGAGACGCTAAATTGTTATTCACAATAAGTCATAATTGTTCAGTTATAACTAAAAATAACACATTACACTCAATTTTTCAGTTCATTCCTCGTTGACAAGATCCCTCAAATTCTTCATCTTAAGTGTCCGAGGTAAACAGTTGGGTGATTACAGCGTCCAGCACACGCCCACATCCCTCTCGTCATTATCCGAGTCAGTGTGGTTACTGTTCCCTGGCAGTTCAGTGATGATTCTGGTCTTGGTGAAAGCTCGGACCACAGTTGATCCTGATCCTTAGTCCAGGCATCCACGATCCATTGGCAGATCGTGGCGTAAGTTGCTCTGCGCTGTCTCCCTGTCTTGGTGAATGTGTGTTCTCCTTCTCTCATCCACTGCTCCCACGCAGCTCGCACTTTCACTTTATAACAGCCTTGAGTTTAAAGTGGGCGTTGTGAGCGTGTCTCTTGACAGGTGCATTTTGATATTAAAAGGAATCACAGTCTGTATTACTCCTGATGCTCCTGACTACGGGAGCCGTAATGCTGCAAGTGGTGCGGATTTGTAGTTTACTAAAGTCGTACTAAGACACCCCAATAAATTCATATATAAGACGCTCTGGATTATAAGGCGCGCAGTCGGTTTTGGATGAAATTAAAGGCTTTTAAGTGCGCCCTATAGTGCGGAAAATACGGCACAGGGGCAGCTACAATTAATATTAAAAATCATTGACCTATACCACAGAATGTTATGATGCAATCTGAAACCAAGCAGTTAGTTGATAGTCCTTCACGGTTTTAATGATCTTGGATGTTCTTGGTGTTGTAGCTGTGCAGCAGAAGATGTCTGAGGAGAACGGGGCGCGGATGCGAGCGGAGAGCCGCGTGGTGGAGGTGGAGAAACAGTGCTCCATGCTGGAGTTTGACCTGAAGCAGTCGGTCCAGAAGATGGAGCAACTCATGAAGCAGAAGGAACGTCTGGAAGATGAGGTGGGTGGAGATGCTCTCATAAGATACATGTCTGTTACAAGAGATTCAATACAGGATGATATCACCTTTGCCCCTAAAAGTATAACATGGGCTTGTACACTTCTGACCACTTGTTTAAACCAATACACAATACTGCTCCAATGATGTTGGCATCAAATATGCATCTACTATAATCATTTTATACATTATAAATATGTAATATAAATATAGTTTTCAGTTATTCACACTTTAATTGCTTTAATTTAATTTTATTACATAATACAACATTTCTTTTATGTCAGCCTAGTCGTTGTTATCTTGGCCTACATTGTACATTTTTGGAGGACAATGCTGCTTTTTGTGGTTTGGTTTCTATTGTCATCTTTATGTACTTTAGAAATATATTGCACTTAGGCCTGTAACGATAACAAATTTTCTTTGACGATTAATTGATCAAGAATTTACTGCGATAAGCGATAATATTGACATTTTGAGACCATTATCAATTAATACAATGACAATGTATTAAAAATGTAAATACACCCTGTCGAAGATCAATAAACTTGACTTTCTAAAGAACATTTATCACAGGAACTGCAAGACAACCAAAAACAAAAGGCCTAAAGAAAATAGCCTTGTTAACATAAGAATAGCCTAATGCAGTCTTGCTGACAGCGAGGACTTGTTAACAAAAACGCATTTGAATAAACCATCGTTCAGCCAAACACAACCAAAACAATAAATAAAATGGATTATTAAGTGTCTGTAACAAAATTGCCCTTAAAAGTTATTTCAGTCATTGACTTACATTGGTATATTGTGTCTCCTCTCTCTGTACCTGCTGCTGTGGCCTCGGCATTTTGGTCTTGACATGTTCGTATTAACCCGCGACACAGGATTCTGTTTCGCTATTTTGTCCGTCAGAAAATCATATTCATAATATAGAGACTGGCTCCTCGCAGGGATTATCTGTCTCCTGCAGAAAGAGCAGCTGTCCCGTCTGGTATCGTGTCAGTGTCTTGTGGGATTTTAGTGGATTTCGGGCTTTCTCGGGGGCTAGGCGAGTTGTGTCAGTCGGTTATAAGTGTATGTCAGTTGCTGGGGTTTGAGCCATTTCTTCTCATTGTTTGCACACTCGCCTGCATTTGATGCTCCCACTCACCACTGTTGCTTTGGCATGATGAGTTGTTTTGGTGCTCTGATGGCGGCGATAGCTTTGTGGCTTCATGTTTACTGCATAGATAGCTGCATGTGCACCCGCTCTGTTGATCGACAAATAATCCGTCTACACTAAGGAGACAAGAGGAGTCAGAGAGTGACAGAAGCCTTTTGACATTCAGGCTCTTTGGTATAGAGAGTGAGAAAGAGAGAGAGAGACGAGGAAAACAAACAAGCATGCAAATAGAAATGATCGTGGCCAGAAAAGTTCTCAAGCTTGTTAAAAGTTACCATATGATTAATTGATTTCTTGACTTTCGTTACAGACCTAATTGCATTCAAAATTTATCATGACAGACCTAATCACAATGTCTTGAGGGTTCGTGAGTCCCTACTGATACACACACAGCACATATGTATCAATAACACAATATTGTACTGATTATTAAGCCATGTTATTTTGTTTATGGCCTCTTTTGTCTGTGTTTGTGCAGGTGAAGAGTGTGAGGACTCAGCTGGAGCAGGAGCTGAGCAAACGGATCCAGGTCCAGAGTGATTTAAAGAGCCGGACTCAGGAGCTGGACCGTCTGCGCTGTTCGGAGAAACAGATGAAGCAGGACATCAACACAGCCCTGGAGACAAAGAGATCACTGGAGTTTCAGCTCGCACAGCTCACAAAGTATGAACCACAAATATTATTACTACTGTTTTAATTCTTCTTTGCTCTTTTCTTTGTTTTCTTTTACTGTTTTGTCTATTTTTTTGTCTATATTTTGTCTTGTGGACCCCAAAACATTGCCTCACACTCCTGAGAACTGTCTATATTCGTATAACAGTGTTTTTTTTTTCTTTTCTATCATTATAGCCAGTAACAGCTATTTTACATTCTTGTTTTTATTATATTTATGTCAAAATTATCCTACAGAAATGTCATTAAGATTCAAAACATTTTAGATTAAAACATTATTCAATTCTTTCTTTCTTTTAAATCTGAAATCGTTTTAAGTACGTCCTGTCAGTGCCCCCGTAGACATTAATACGTTTATTTATATTTTATCCATTTTCTATTTCAATTCAATTTTCTACTCAGCTCATCGCCTCTTTAATTACACACAATAAAAATCTGTAAGTTTTAGGGATGTACAAGATCTCGTGCCTTAGCATCACGCAAGATACAACTGCTACAAGACTCTGCGCACATGACGAAAATGATCTTGTGAGATTTTTTTTCCCACGAGTGAATCTTTTGAGAAGCAGCATCTCCACAAAACAGTGCTACAGTGACTTGCAAAAAACGATGTATTATAAATTATGTAAAACTTGTCTTCTCCTGGAGCCAATCTTATATATCGGCTCATATTGTGGAAATTTTCTAATTAGTTTTTTTAAATAAGATTTCTTTTCTGATCTAGAGCTTCAGTACAGGTTTTCTATTTTTAAGTGTTATGATTGTCTTGCACTTTGCTCATCAAATGTAGCTGCTAAGTTCTCTCTCATATAGTATCACTGTGTGCGTTGTTTTTCTAAAATAATTTACCAAAAGAAACACCAAATCAAATGGCTAATGTGTTACTATGACTACAGATAGCCATATTTTGACACTTGTGGTCTGTTCCCCTGATTGTCAATGCTGATCTATATTAACCAGTACTCACCTAATACTTCATTTACTTAAACCTTGCTTACATTATATCATTTGAATTTTTTGTATATACCACATTCTGTAGATGTACAAAATAGAGGTCTGTGCAGGACTGAATTTTCAGTCACGCTCCCGCCCGCATCTGCAATATTTTGTCCCACTCCCACCCTCAAGCCCCGCAAGATGGGGACATTCGCTTCTATAAAACACGGAGAAGCGGAAAGAAATTTTCTAAAATGTGCGCGAGAATAGTCCACATACGCAAATTTAGGCTGCTTAAAATGTTTTTACTAATGCCAAATAAAATATCCAGCACAAATGATGCATGATAGTAGCCTGATTCATCAGCTGGTTTCACTTTGTAGAAACTGTCTAACCTCGCAGTGTTAGAATTCATTCGCTCGACAGTAGGCGGGTACTTTTTATCATTTAACCAATCGCTGCTATTTGGTCGTGACGTATGTAATGCGCCGCTAACTGGACTAACTGGTATATTAAGCTTTTCCCAAATCCTGTAGGAAGAAGAACAATAACGTCTTTCCCCTTGATAAAATTCACCAAACATTCTCTTTGTTTCGGCTTTAAATCCTCGATCTCAGGAATCGTTGCCAACACAGAATGTCTGGCTCTTCTCTGATTGACTGGTACCCGAACTTGCACTTCCGGGGTTCTTGCAAACCGTCTAGTGTATTCTGATTCCTGACCTAGTCACTTGAGAGAAATGAAATTGAGTGGAGGCACTAGGTGGCACCAGCCTGGCTAGCATGATAGGCATACATTCATCATTTGTGTATTTTACTTTAGACTCATATTTAGTTGGCGGGACTGTGGTTTATCATATCACCACCCACTGCCGCATTGTGTAGTCCCGCTCCCAACTCTACCATAAAAAGAAGAGTATCTGTGGTTTTCAGAACAGTGAAAAATTAGGATCATTACCATAACAATTAACCATTTAAAATGAAATACTAATACTTCAAATGCTAAGATCAGGCCTAAAATGTTATATTTTTAGTATAAGTTGAGATAAAGCTAGTAGTTGACAATTTTGTTTATTAAAGTTTCATCTGCTATCATGTTAACTACCCCAAAACATCTTCCTAACCCTAATTTTGAATGAAAATGAAAATCTAATTATTCAGGCATTTTTAGGTTAGTATTTTGATTAAGACCAGCCAAAAGTTCTTATTTCCTCAAATCTACTTTTGCCCGTAATGCTCTTTAGGAGTCGAGTCCAAAATGGCAGTAGAATTGGCTGTTTTTCTCACATTTAAGTGCTATTACTGAAGCTTAGAGAGGGACTGCGCCAAAGCCCCTCTCAAACGCTCTGTTTACATGGACAGATTAGCGCTTAGCTCAAATCCATAAACTCCATTACTAACTCCCAACTAATCTGCTGGCTCCATCTGCAGTCCATGTTTACTTTTGGCACTTTTTTGTTTATTGAAAATATAAAAAGAAATCTTGCTTTTGTTTAACTTTTTGAATTTCTTTTTTAGGCAGTACAGAGGCAACGAGGGACAGATGAGGGAACTTCAGGATCAACTGGAAGCAGAACAGTATTTTTCTGTGAGTCTATAAACATTTGCAATTTCACTTTTTTATTGAATTTACGATTTTTGGAAAGCAAACTTTGATTTTCAGGTTTGATTGTAACGTTTTGTGTTCACTTTTCTGTCCAGACGCTTTACAAAACTCAGGTTAAGGAGCTGAAAGAAGAGATAGACGAAAAGAATCGGCAAGTTCAGGACGCTCACAAGAAGGTGCAGGACTTGTGCAGTGAAAGGTACGGAGTTTGGGTCCTTTTATGACGCCAAATTGTAAGTTTTTATATTTGAAAATTAAAATAATGAACCTAGAGAAAAAAATAATAAAAATGTGTGAGTCTACTTGTTTCTTAGTTAAATTTTTTTATGTGCTCGTATGTTCAGAGCAAAACTAAACAACATTTTTTTAAAATATTGTCAGGTAACTCTTTAGTCCAGTTTGGTGTAGTGTATTTAAATCATAGCTTTCTTTTTGTTTAAAGTTAATTTCTTGTTGTTGATTTTGTGGTGCTCAGTTTATAAGAAGGGAACAATTTTGTGATTTTAAATATTTTGTCTGTTGTCTGTGTTTTGTTTTTGGTTGTTTTGGTATAATAAAGCTCATTTCTTGTCTCTCTCTTGCCGATTTGTTCTCAGGGACTCTCTGTCGGCTCAGTTGGACTTGACCGTGACCAAAGCCGAGTCGGAGCAGTTGGCCCGAGCGCTGCAGGAGGAGCAGTACTTTGAGCTGAGCCAAGAAAGTAAGAAGGCCCTGACCAGACACAAGCAGGAGATGAGCGAGAAGGACGCCACCATCTCCAGGGTAAGAAGAGAGTCTTAAGGGTGAAGTATAGTTCTGCGTCGACTCAACACACTCTGCCGCCGTTGCCTTGTCGCCGTCGTTTTTGATTTATGGATCTGCGTCGAGGTCTGTGCATCGCGAAGTAATTCACCGCCAAAATGCTAGGGGGCTAGGATATATGCCCATTCATATATATGGTCTGTGTGTATGACCCTCAGACGTATAATCTCTGAAAAGTTCCATCTCCGACACGATAAAAGCACAGAACAGACTGATCATTAGTACAATATCCCTCTGTCACAGAAAGAACACTCATATTCCACAGAGTCGTGTCCTTTTAAAGTCCGACAGAAGCTGAACTGCATCAGGGCACAAGGATTTTTGAGGATGTTTTTTGAGTGCTTAGTTTATGCAAGTTAGCCATGCGGTTTTAAGTTTTGTTTCTGTAAAACGTAAACACGTATGCGCAAAGCTGCATTAAACACATTATTTCTCAATGTATATTGAAAGAAAGGAAAGTGGAGTACAGGAAATGTATGTAGTGTGGTGGCAGGGAGGACCAATCACAGCCCTTATCATCTGCGTCACTTCCCTGTGCTGCCCGCATCGTTTCAACGCGTAGTTGAAAAATAATATAGCAAAACAGTAAATTTCGCAGAGGCTTTGCGTAGGGGGTACGTGTCGACGCAGGACTGTAAATTGGCCTTTAGGAGATGTGTGTAAACCAGATGTAAGAGCAGTGGTGTTTCAGAGTTAATGTCTATATGTCTTTCTGCAGCTCGAGGAATCAAATAAAACTCTGACCAAAGATGTGGAGAATCTGAGTAAAGAGAAGGCGGAGCTCAGTGACAAGCTGCAGACTCAAGAGGAAGGTGAGTGTCATGAATGCCACACTAGTCCACAGTTATTGCTTCATGTTTCAGTCACGGAAAGTATTCAGACCCCCTTAAATTTTTCACTTTTTGTTATTTTGCAGCCATTTGCTAAAATCATTCAAACTAATTTTTTTCCCTCATTAATGTACACACAGCACCGCATATTGACAGAAACACAAAATTACTGACATTTTTGCAGATTTATTAAAAAAGAAAAACTGAAATATCACACATAAGTATTCAGACCCTTTGTTCAGTATTTGGTAGAAGCACCTTTTGAGCTGATACAGCCATGAGGCTTTTTGAGAATGATACAAGTTTTTCACACCTGGATTTGGGATCCTCTGCCATTCCTCCTTGCAGATCCTCTCCAGCTCAGTCAGGTTGGATGGTGAACATTATGACCATGTGATATTTTTGTCAATAATTTAGTGTTTCTCTGTCAATATGTGGTTTGTGTACATTAATGAGGAAAAAATAAACTTAAATGATTTTAGCAAATGGCTGCAATATAACAAAGAGTGAAAAATGTAAGGGGTCTGTATACTTTCCGTACCCACTGTATGTCGCAATACTTCATCACGTTAATTTTATATCGAGATGTATTTGTCATTTTTACTGATCTCATAATTTTTAACTTAAATTGTATGAAATGCAATGTATTTTGTTCTTGTGAAGGTACACTTGAACATAATATTAGAAGTAATTACTTATAAATCACAACATATCCTCTCTTGTTTTATTATTAGGATCATGATGCAACACAGCCCTATTGATTACTGTCAGAAATATTTTTATTAGTTTTCTACTTCCATTTTGTAACATTTTTATTATAGCAAATAATAAATAGAAAATGAATTAATGCATTTAGTTATGCATTATGTTGTATGTATGCAATAATAATGTTATAGTCCAGCAAAAAATGATTATAGTCAAGCTGAGAATACTTCCACAGCCGGTCAGTGCACTAAATAGTTGAAGCCCTTGTGTATATTGCAGACATCCAAAGGACTGACTCAAGTTTGATTTGTGGTGTTTTTCTAAGGACTCTAATGTTTTTCTTTGTCTTCTCAGACTACACAGCACAGAAGGAAGAAATCGCAAACACAATCCGAGCTAACTACGAGAAAGTTCTCAACACTGAGCGCACACTCAAGACACAGGTAAAGCACGTACTAATCATCCCTACATCATAACATACAAAACTCTGTATTTCCCAAGTTAAAATGTTCCGTGGCATTCTAGGCAGTGAACAAACTGGCCGAGATCATGAACCGTAAAGACATGAAGCTGGACCAGAAGAAGAAGGGCAGCACGGCCGACCTGAGGAAGAAAGAGAAAGAGAACAGGAAACTGCAGCTGGAGCTCAACCAGGAGAAGGAGAAGTTCAACCACATGGCCATCAAATACCAGAAGGAGCTGAGTGAGATGCAGGCCTGTGAGTTCTCTACTACACCGTCTCTTTACTGTGTATATATGCATGTTCTGTTTGTGTGTAGAGAGCATCACTTATTTGAATGGACCATGGGATAGAAATGCAAAAGCGTATTTTTATACATTTTTTTATTTATTTAGTGATTGATTCATTGATTTAAAATATGTGTATTGTCTTGTTTTGGGTATGTTTTAAATCCAAAATGATTTGTTTTTTTAGGCTACTACTTACAGTTCAAGCAGACCTACAACTTTGCGACACATATTGTTTGTTTACCAGTATATAATAAGATACAAACCTTTACTTTCTGCAGGAAAGAGGAGAAAAAAGCAGGAGAATAAAAATAATGAAATACAAAGATGAATAAAATGTATGCAAAAAGACAAAATTTACCTTGTATAAAAAAGGTTGAAAGTTAAGAAGCCACATAAAAGTAGATTAATGGGTAAAACATATAACAACATACAGCACTAAAAGATAGACTTTGACATATCAATATAAGTCAACAATAATGACATAGGGTAAAGCAATAAACACATAAGTCAAATCATTTAATTAATATTAGAAACTATAAGGCTGCAAAACTTTTAAAAAAATGTACATTTGAATAAGCTATAAACCATCAATCATGATTTCATATCTCATCGAAATGATTCTGTTTGTGTCGTAGCAACTGGCAGAGGAGTGCACGTACCGTAACGAGCTGCAGATGCAGTTGGACAGTAAAGAGAGCGACATCGAGCAGCTTCGAGAGAAACTCAACGACCTCCAGCAGAGAATGGACAACTCCAGTGTGACCAGTCTGCAGGCCGACGAGACGGACAGCAACATCGCAGGTACACACTCCTATACAATACTACAAACAACAACATCGCAGGTACACACTCCTATACAATACTACAAACAACAACATCGCAGGTACACACTCCTATACAATACTACAAACAACAACATCGCAGGTACACACTCCTATACAATACTACAAACAACAACATCGCAGGTACACACTCCTATACAATACTACAAACAACAACATCGCAGGTACACACTCCTATACAATACTACAAACAACAACATCGCAGGTACACACTCCTATACATACTACAAACAACAACATCGCAGGTACAAACTCCTATACAATACTACAAACAACAACATCGCAGGTACACACTCCTATACAATACTACAAACAACAACATCGCAGGTACACACTCCTATACAATACTACAAACAACAACATCGCAGGTACAACACTCCTATACAATACTACAAACAACAACATCGCAGGTACACACTCCTATACAATACTACAAACAACAACATCGCAGGTACACACTCCTATACAATACTACAAACAACAACATCGCAGGTACACACTCCTATACAATACTACAAACAACAACATCGCAGGTACACACTCCTATACAATACTACAAACAACAACATCGCAGGTACACACTCCTATACAATACTACAAACAACAACATCGCAGGTACACACTCCTATACAATACTACAAACAACAACATCGCAGGTACACACTCCTATACAATACTACAAACAACAACATCGCAGGTACACACTCCTATACAATACTACAAACAACAACATCGCAGGTACACACTCCTACACAATACTACAAACAACAACATCGCAGGTACACACTCCTACACAATACTACAAACAACAACATCGCAGGTACACACTCCTACACAATACTACAAACAGCAACATCGCAGGTACACACTTCTATACAACACTGTCCAATATTATTCAATACTTTCCTATACTACTGTAATTTCCGTACTATAAGCCGCTAATTTTTTCTCACACTTTGAACCCTGCAGCTAATAAAACGATGCGGCGAATGTATGGACAGATTCTTTGTTTGGCACATTGTCCATTCATATATGCAGTTTATGGTTTGGCAACACAGCGGTTAAGTGCAGCCTAAGTGCAGAAAACATCGCTGTCTGTGCTACAGTAGTGTTGTCAGCGCACTCAAATAGTTTATCGCCGTGTGAGAAAAGAAGTTATGATACTAAATGAACATTAGTGAGGGGGATACGTCTTACCTGTGTGTGTAAATGAGGAGAAGAAACATCTCAAACTTCAGTAGCCGAACATCCACTCATACCTGATTGACAGAACTAGCCCCGCCCCCGAGAGAGTCTGAAATCTGCTGAAATCCTCCAAGACACTGACATGATACAGACAGAACAGAGACTCTTTCCGCAGGAGACATGCGCAGTAGAGCGCGGGGAGAGACGGGGTGATGCGCCGAGGAAGGTGCTTGTTTGATTATGTTTTGAACTGTTATTTTGCGCTTCATACACACACCCTCCTCATGGAAAACACACGAAGAAATGCAGATGATGAAACACAGATGATGCAGCTTTTAAGTTTAAAGTTATTTGATGTGGCTGTCGAAGAAGGAAACAGAGCTGCTGCACGTGAGCTCGACATCAGTGAGTCGATGGTGACTCAATGCAGAAGATGTTAAAAGCTTTCAGAGGCGATAAAAACAGGCGGCACGAACTTGAAAACGTTCTTGAAGACGTGGACACCTACGACTTATATTCAGCTGCAGCCTTTTTGTACAATTTAAACATTTAGTTAAAATTTAGTTGATGCGGCTTATATTCAGGTGTGCTCTATGGTCCGGAAAATACGGTATTTACATAAGAAGTCAGTGAACTTGTTTGTCATACATGTAGTTGTCTTCTCTGGTCACATACATACACATTTGTCCTTCATTATGACTTTTACAATTTTTGGTCATTTCTGGTTATTTACATTTCAACTTTATTTTGAACATGACACATTTTCATTCCATGTTGCTTTCTGAGAATAGTGTATGCATTTGGTTATAATTTAGTCCCTATACACACTATTCAAATGAAACTGAACTATTGTCAGTGTATATAATTACAATTTATAGACTTTTTTTTTGTAAATTTGGTTCTATGAAACTATTTCCATGATAAAATGGCTTTATTTTTACCAGTGGGGAAATGTTAGAATGAACTTTTTCCAAAGCATTGAAGGAAAGTACAAGAACAGAGCCAAAATATTATTAGCTACATCATTGCAATAGCTTCCACTTACTTACATCAACACACTTTTTGTAGAAGTATTAGACAACAGCTCATTAAACACTGTATCTTATGTTATCTAGTTTGTCACGTTTTCTCCTTCACATGAACTAACCATCTCTTTCCCAGCTCCATTCTGGTTAAATCACTGTCTCATCTTCCTCATGTCAAGTCGGTCTCCTTCTCTCTGTAACTCCTTTACTTTTCCCTCAGTGAGTAACATTGGTCGTACCCTCTCTTTGCCTGCTCTGGTCTGCAGCTGTAGTGTGCCTGGTACCTTGATCCTAAACAGATTTATTTCATTTTAGTAGCCCATTATTTGTTTACAACGTTTGAAGATGTCAATTCCATATTACGCTTAAGATTTGAAAATGAATTAATACACAATTTTTAAACACATTTTTGCTACGTTAGGTCTTCTAAGCACGATTTGAAACACTGACACGCTCTTTACAGCGGCATGATCACCCTAAAGTAATGCTTGCATAAGATTCAAACCCTCGAAATTCTTTGTTTACCCTTTTAGTTGTGTTCAAAACGCATGCACTTTCTGGATTTCAATATTTCTAACATGCATCTGTTTTTCGTAGAATTTATTTCGTAGGCAGTTCTTTTACAGTTAAAGGGGCAGTTTGGAATTTTGGACATAGAGCCTCATTTCCTAGTGAGTCAGAGTGTTGGAGACGTGTGGAGACACTTTTTGAAATATTCCATCCAGTCCTTGTATTTGCAGAGGTCGCTGGTGCTAGGCTAGTGCATGTCAATGGTCATAGTTCTCCTGCCACTAAAAACAGTCTTACCCACTCCACAAAACACCCGAAGAAAATCTATTATTACACCAGACTGTCCATGTGAATGTCTGTGTTGATAGAATAATGTTTGAAATAAAACTAACCTTGTATTGCATGAATCTTCACATGTTAAGGGACTATTTTCTCATTTATCAGTCCGCCGCTGCCAAACTTTCTATCAAGAAGTACAACTCGCTGCTGCTGCCCAGGCATAAATTCCTGAAATTAGGGATTAATCGATCGGTCATCAAAAGAATTAAATTTTCACTTTTTGATTAATCATTAACGTTTTTATATAATAAGTATCATATTATTATTGCTGTTTCTAATCTGCATAAATAAACTCAACTTGACGACATATAAACCAGAACCACTCTAGAGCCACATCAGCCCGTTTGACATTATAATGTGTTTAATGCAGCTTTGCGCAACTCTCACAGAAATGAAACTTGAAACTACATGGCTAATTTGCATAAACTAAGCGGAGAAAAAAAAAAAAACACTCTTGTGCACTGATGCGGTCAACTTCTGTTAGACTAAATGTTATGACTCAGTGGAATATAGGTGTTCTTTCTGTGACAGAGGGATGTTGATGCTCAAGGTGAGTCTGTTCTGTCTCTGTCACGATGTTTTCAAAGATCGTACGTGTGCAGGTTTTGCGCAGCTCTTTATGTTGCAGTAACCGGGCTGCTGTGTTTACATTCCACTCCAGTGTTTGTGTCAGACGCAGCTTCATATCTACGCACAGAAACCTACATTCGGTTTGTCAATTAGAAATTAACGTAATCAACGAAATTCTTAATGATCAATTATCGATTAGTCGACTAATCATGCCCATCCCTACTTCAAATGCAAGGTTGGTTTTACTTCTAAAATTATTCTGTCAACACAGACATTCATATCAACAGTCTGGGTAAGACTGTTTTTAGTGGCAGGAGAACTATGGCCATTGACATGCACTAGTCTAGCACCAGTGACCTCTGCAAATACAAGGACTGGATGGAAGATTTCAAAAAGTGTCTCCACACGTCTCCAACACTCTGACTCACTAGGAAATGAGGCCCTATGTCCAAAATTCTGAACTGTCCCTTTAAAGTATTAGGACCATTACCACAACAATTAACAGTCCAAAACAAAATATTATATCTTTTTGAATGGTCCTCAAAATGGCACCATCTAACCAGAGGCTGAAACACTTGAATAAGCAGCTCTTGAGGTTAAAATATGTCCACTGTGCGCTGTCTGCATCCATTTATTAATGCTTTTATTGTTTGTTCAGAAAGTGTGGTAACCTGCTAGTTGTTGCTGTTAGCTTTACTGACACAATTATTCTCAGACCAGAGCGGAGTTTTAAGATGCTCTGAAATGCATAGGATAATTGAGGAATCATTTTGGACCACTGCAAAATTTTGAGATTAGATTGATTGATTTATGTTTTTATTTTGGGCAAGTAAGAAATGTATATTCTTTTACAATAGGACATATAACATTAATGAAATCATAGCAGAAATAACAACAAAAAAATAAAAAATATAATAAAAAATTGGCCCAAAAAGCAGCAGGAAGTAGAAAATGTATTTAATCCCACCGCCCTCTTCTATTCTACCACAATGAGCTTTCTTTTGAATTTTACAGACATTTTACATTAAACTATATGAACTATTTACAAGCAGCGTTGCCATAGTTACTTTGAAATGGTAAACTGACTACTGATTACTTCTTTAAAAAGTAACTTAGTCGCCAGCACAGAGTCTACAACGAACCTTTATGTTGCCATCCTCAGCTGAAATAAAATCAAAATAATGTTTGTATTTTCATCTGCAAAAGGTGTAACCTTTTAAAAAAAGTAGTCGGACTACAGTAAAGCATTACTAAGTAGCATGTTAGTGGCATCACTGCTTACAAGTGTGGACAAAGAGTCACTGTTATAGTTATACAGTTATAGATTTAGTATCAATTAGTATCTGAGTTTTGATACTTCTCTCAGTGTTAGTGTCAGGATTACCTTTGATTTTACCTAATGCTTTTTTTTTAACAGCTTAAAATGTTTCTTGACTTTGATTTTGGACTTGCATGGCCCTTATTTCCCGACCCATTTTCTGCCTTGTCTGCACCGTATGCCGGGCTAACCTCTTTGTGTGACTGCTTTACAGAATCCAGACTGGAGGGTTGGCTGTCCATTCCTAACCGCGCTAATATCAAACGCTACGGCTGGAAGAAACAGGTGGGGTTTTGGTCGTTTCAGATTTCCTCTCATTTCTCTCAAACATCAATATAACTTTGATCTCTTCTGTCTTCAGTATGTGGTAGTAAGCAGCAAGAAAATCCTGTTCTATAATGACGAGCAGGACAAGGAGCAGTCCAATCCCTCCATGGTACTAGATATAGAGTAAGTACTACAAACTTTACATTATGCACTTATTAAGATGCTTTTTTTTATAAGATGTAGTTTAAAATAATTCTTTGTTTTGCAGTAAATTGTTCCATGTCAGACCCGTGACACAAGGAGACGTGTACCGAGCGGAAACGGACGAGATTCCCAGAATATTCCAGGTTGGAGTTTCATAAAAAAAAAAATAAAAAAAAGGTCTCATTATTTAGGCATTGCTGCATTCATAACATTTTACAATTTCCAACAATTTTTCATCTTTCTGTTCAATACAAAGTAACTGTATTAGAGTCGATAATACAGAATTTTTATTTAAACAGTATTTAGTTTCCCAAAGTAAATTACAAGAATAGTTTTTGTTTTCTTTTCGGACAGGACAAAACTAATTGTTAACAGTTTAAAGCTGAAGACTGAATGAATCTATTTTTTGGGCTCATGCTGGGGCTTGAACTTGGTGTGAATGATTGTGTCAGTTGTTTTTTGTTACTGATTTCTTGGCAAGGCAGGTTTATCTGTGCATCACAATTCATACAGAGTTATTCAAAGTGCTTTACAGAATAAGAAACACGTTAAAAACACAATGCAAACAAATCAAAATATAAATAATCATCATCATAAAATTTATATTAAAGGGCCCATCTCATGCAAAATAACTCTTTTCACATTGTATCTTCTGCACATAAACAAGCACAATTTGGGTTTTGGAACATCCATTACACAATAGTTCTGAAATCTGACTGATTTCTTGGA